ACCTTGAAGATTGACATCTCCAAGTATAGGGGAGTCGAAGAGGACTCCCTCTTGAGATGGTTCGTCGAATTGGATGACGCCATAAGGGCGCGTCGCATCGACGATGGGGATATGCAAGTTGCATTTGCCCAGTCAAATCTGGCAGGACGTGCCAAGGCTTGGGCACTGGGGCTCAAGTTGCACGACCCTTTTGCGTTTGGGTCGTTGGAAGTCTTCAAGTCGCGGCTCAGACAAACGTTTGAACCGCCTAGAGCTGAGTTCAGAGCTCGAACCGAACTCTTGGAGCTCAAACAAGGTAAGCGTGATGTGCACGCTTACGCACAACATACACGACATCTTACGAGCTGTTTAAGTTCCAACACGGTTGATGAACACACGTTGGTTTCGGTGTTCATGCAGGGTCTTGCGGATGGTCCCGTCAAGATTCACCTGTTCCGACTTGAACTAGATTCACTAGAACAAGCCATTTCCATTGCGGAACAAAAGACTTCAGTCTGAGACAGGCTCGCGCCAGCTCGACATCATATCGTCCACCGAGACGATATGACAGGGAGTTCCAGAGCCGATGGAACTCTGTTATGTAGAGAGCGAGAAGGCTCGCTCTACAGACTACAAGAAGTTGCAGAAATGCAACAGATGTCAAAAGGCAGGACACTACTCTTATGAGTGTAGTGCCCCTCGTCCAGTGTCTCGCAACACTGGTCGTAATGACCGTCCACCATTAGAAAGGGGCAGGGACGCGGGTCCGCTGTTGGTGCGAAGACGCAACACCGGGATGGACCGTCAAAAAAAGGACAGGATCAGTAGGTGTAGAGCACCCTACTGGTCCAGCAACGTCAAGAGAATTTGTGGGCCTCTTGATGAAGGTTGCTCCCAACACACAAACGTTGTGCGTTGCTGCTCTAGGTAATGAGGTCTCACTCATTACCTTGAAACTCGAAGTGACGAATAAGTTGTCCCTTCGAGCTCTAGTCGATTGTGGGGCGTCCAACAATTTTGTGCGACGCCAATTGCTAGAAGATGGTCACTTTAAGTGTGGTGAATGTGACACACCTCCTACGAGGATGACGGTGCGTCTTGCGACAGGCGCATCCGTAACCGTCATGAAGCGTATAGTGAAGATCCACTATACGCTAGAATATACCCAATATGACGATGACTTTATCGTATTGGATTTGGATGACAAATTTGATGTCATCCTTGGAATACCGTGGCTAAGAAGGTACGAACCACGGGTAAACTGGCAACATCGAACAGTAACGATGCCTGCCGCTTGTTCATCAGATGGCCATCTGATGAACGTTTTGGAGCGTCCACAAGCGTGTGGATGTACTCCGAGTGAGTGCGATGGCCTCACTTGTGGTACGGTCGTTAGTACGACTGCACAAAACCTTAGTGTAACAAACGGTTACACTTCGGAGCAAAGTTCCGGCGGCTGTGAGGAAACACAGGCTGTGCCGAAGGTCCATCACTCGAATGAGTCGAGTGGACCGGGACAAAGATGTATCCCTAGCATGGAACATCTAGAAGAGAAACAATCGATCGCTCAGGCTAAGCGAAACGATAATCCTAGATCGACTGGAGAGTCTTTCGTAGAGGATCTCGCTGTGGTTGCGCAACCACAGCTAGAGGAAGTTAAGGGAATAAGTCCCGATATTACAAATACGGTGGAAATAAGTTCCCCGAAACCCGAGGGAATAAGTCCCCGGGAAGCCGAAGGAATAAGTCCTTTGAGGCCTGAGGGAATAAGTCCCCAGGAAATGACAGAGACATTGAATGTCATAGTCAATAACGGATCAAGTGTAGGCGCTTATACACTTGATCTGATTGCGCCTCCGAAGTTGACTTCGGAGATCACTCAGTCGCCAGCGCTCGAACATAAAAGGTTCTTGCGTGATCTGCGTAGTGGCAAAGTCAAGCAGATCTGCGTACTCGTCGCTGACGACGAGTGTGTAGCCGACATAAGGTCAGCAACAGTGTTTACTGAGAACGAGAGAGTTCTCAGTAGTTCATCTATGGACGAGAGTGTCCTAGATGAAAAGACACGAGTTGAGCGATATGACTCCCAATCGTGGGAATCGCTCAAGACAAATCCTCTCTATGAAGATTTGGTTGAATTCAAGGATGTATTCCCTGAAAGTGTTCCGTGCGAATTACTGAAGGATAAAGGTATTCGACACGAGGTAGAGCTTAAACCAGGCTCGAAGTACTGTGTCATGAAGCAGTGGCCACTGCCTCGTGAACAAGTACTTGCGATCGATAAGTTCTTTGCCGATCGTTTAGCTGCGGGCCATGTGAGATAATCAACTTCCCCACATAGCTCTGCGACCTTCTGTGTGCGAAAAGCAACAAGAGGGTGGCGGATAGTGCATGCATTTAACAAGTTGAATGCTGCAACGGTACCGGCTCAGACGTCGATACCGAGGAAGGACGTAATCATTGATGGCATGTCAAAGAGTACCATCTTTTTGTCCATGGATTTGATGGATGGCTTCTATCAAATCCTTATGCGAGAACGGGATATACCCTATACCGCAGTTAGCACGCCTAGCGGCATGCTCTGGGAATGGCTAGTAACGCCACAAGGGCTTAGTAATGCCCCTGCCACGTTCAACAGATGTGTATCACATCTGTTGAGACCAGTACAAGAATTCGCGCCGAGTTATTTCGATGACGTATTCATCCATAGTCGGGCTATGGATGGAAAGTCGGATGTTGAGGTTCACAAGTACCACGTCCGACAGGTTCTTACAATCATGCGAAAGTATCAATTGTATGCAAACCTCAAGAAGTGTATATTTGCAGCAAGCGAAATACCACTTCTTGGGTGCATCGTTGGTAAGAACGGTGTACGTCCTGATCCCGAAAAGATCAAGGCGATCACCGACTGGCCTGTGCCGGTTGATGTCAAAGGTCTTCGAAAATTCCTTAGGCTAGCGGCGTATTTTCATAAGTATTCACGCAATTACGCCGAGATGACTGTGCACCTCTCTCGTTTGTTGAAAAAGAACAAGAGGTGGTTATGGAACGATGAATGTCAGCGCTCCTTTGATGGTATCAAGCAGAGCTTGATACAATCCCCATTCCTAGCAACTGCCGATCAGGACAGGCCATTTCATGTGGTCTGTGATGCCAGCGATTTTGCAATCGGCTGTGAATTAATGCAGTACGATCTTGAAGGCATTGAACGCGTCGTCTGCTATCAGTCGCGTCAGCTGCAACCAGCTGAGCGGAACTATCCAGTGCATGACAAGGAACTCCTTGCCATGAAGTATGCACTTGCGAAGTTCAGAGTCTATCTATTAGGAGAAAGACCCTTCATTGTTTACACTGACCATGCGTCATTACGCACGGCAGTGAACAGCCCGCACCTTTCACAACGAATGGCGCGGTGGTTTTCATTCTTTGCAGAATAAAACTTTACGGTCGAGTACAAACTAGGACGACTCTATGTCGTCGCTGATGCACTCTCACGTCGTCCCGACTTTGAACCAGTCGTGAAACCCAACAGTGAGACAGTCACTGTTGCGGTTATGACGTCCTCAGTCCCATCTTCAACGTTGCATGATGATGTGAGGCGGGCGTATGCCCAAGATGGTGAGATTGTGAAGTTGTTGACACATCTCTCACAGCCATCTCGAGAATCGTTGAAACGATTGTCGTCTGCGTTTCGATCTGCATCAGATTGATACACTACTCGCAACGGGTTACTGTATTATACAGCCGTTTCTGGTGACACACCACGTGTTGTCATTCCAGATGATACTGATCTGCGTTTGCCGATCATGTTCGAGTATCACGATGCTCTTATAGGAGGACATCGTGGCCGCGAGAAAACATATCTCACGGTGAGTCGAGACTTTTACTGGCCCCGCCAGTATCAGTTTGTGCGCAAGTGTGTTCGCGCATGCGAAGTCTGCCAACGAGTGAAGTCAAGTCCTTCACTGCGTGCACCTTTACAGCCTCTACCGGTTCCGGCTGAGTGCTGGGAATCCATCTCAATGGATTTCGCCTTCGGGTTACCCAAAGACGCACGCGGGAATACGAGTATTCTCGTATTTGTTGACAGATTCAGCAAAATGGTACACCTTGTGGCTGTACCAGAGTCAATCGCGGCAAGTGGCTGTGCTTGTGACTTTATTGACACCATCTTCCGACTTCATGGGTTGCCCTGTGAACTCGTATCAGACAGAGATCCACGATGCACTGCCGATTTCTGGCGTTCCGTGTTCAAATCACTCGGAACGCGCTTGAAGATATCTACATCTGATCATCCAGAGTCAGATGGTCAGACCGAACGTGCCAATCGTGTCCTCGAAGAGATACTTAGAGGATACGTACACTCCTTTAAGAGTTGGAGTGAGTTTTTGCCAATGGTAGAGTTTGCCATTAACAACTCGGTGCATGCGTCCACGAACCATAAACCGTTTTGCGTGAATGGCTTGCGCCATCCGCGTGTACCCACCTTACTAAAGTGTACCTCTGGTTTAAAGGGGAAGAGACTCGCGCGAGCAAAAACCAATTTGGTTCACGCTCATCACGCTCTGACGAAGAGGTCATTGCGTTTGATACCGATATCGATAACATCGATATCGAAGAAGATAATGCCAGTGAGAGTGCGGAAGCCCTCACTGAAGAAAAGGTTGATGTTGCTGCAGTGCGCTCACAGCGCACTGAAGCTAACGAGTCATCAGATGAGTTCATACTGGCTCGTGAAACGGTAGTCCGTTTTGTGCAAGACTATATCGCCGAAGCGGCGGATAAGCAAAAGCAAAACGCAGACAAGAATGGAAGGCCAGACACTCTTTTATTTAATAAAGGTGACTTAGTCCTACTGTCTACGGTTAATCTACCAAAGCATGTAGTGACTAACTTGGGTAGCAGTAAACATCTACCCAAGTACATCGGCCCATTTCGTGTATTGCATCGCCTAGGCAATGCATACACGATCGAGTTGCCACGTAAGATGCGAACGCATCCCACGTTTTACGTTGGTCGGCTTAAGCCATACCATCAGGACGCTGTTTCATCCGATGAAGAACGCCCTTGCGTTCAAGCATCTCGCAGAGAGCCTTGTGCTCCCGATGGTGGGCATCGACAAGGGTCTGAAGAGCAGTTATCTCATCCCGAGACCGATCAACAATACCACGAGCTACTCTTAGCTCGTCACGAAGAGATGTCAGAGCTCTCTCGTTCTCAAGCTGAGCAAAGGCAAACTCAGCTCGATGCTTCGAGACAGCGTCCGCCATTTGGAGACTTCTGTTGTAACGAGGCACCCTGAAGCTTGTACTGGTGACAGTACAAGCTACTTATTCTGATGGCAGAATAAGGCGGTGCCTCGTAACTTCACGTACACTCGTACCTGCAGAGGAAGACGGTAAGAAGAAGTGAGTGCTTGGTTAAAGTAAAAAGTAGAACTGTATTTAGTATAGTTAATGTCTGCAATAAATCACTATTTATCTTTATCTAACTGTGTCTGAATACAAATGTGTAAATCAACTATCTGCTCACCACTCATTGAGTGCGTCTGTCGTGGCGCGTCTTCGTTGGTTGATGTAATGGACTAAATCAACCAATTAGGAACTACTCGTAAGTGCTGCAGAATATCTGTCCTTATGACAGTATTCTGAGAATGTAACTCTTACAGTTATATTCGATTAACAATTTCTTATAAATGGTTATGTAACGATTTACCCCGTTACATCACCCCTCCCTTAACCATCAGTCAATTTAGTGGACTGATCGACTTAATGTATACTCGTCCCAAATCATTTGGGACAGGGTTTGCACTTGTTGGTCCGAGTCCACTTTCCAACATCTCATCGCATGGCTAACAAGCCCATGCGAAGCGCGAGCAAGGCCGCCGAGAGCGCGTCCGCACGTCTCTGTGCGGACGCAGAAGCAGAAACCACAGCAACTGATGTCTCATCGATTGCTGAAGCGACTCAGCTTGTGTCACTTGGTGATGCAGGTGCTGGTCATGAAGACACTCATGTCTTCACAGAGTATGAGCTCGGTGTCTCATACTCTCCTGATACGGAAGACGGATCCGTATCGACGGCGATCGAATCCAAGCCGCCTGCCAAGCGTGGCATGGATGATGCTATGCGCCGTAGCATCTTTGGTTCATCTGATGAATCAGATGAACCATCGCCGAAGCGAAGGCGCTCGAGGTCGCAAGACTCGGGCGCTCACAGTGGTGTCGGTTCTCCTATTGACACCACTTCGCAACGAGGTGCCAGTACTTCTGTCGGCACGTCGCAGGAAGAGCGGGACCGCAATGTGTTGCGTCTCGCTCCAGAAAAGAAGGCATGGATGCCTCCTAAATCTGTCATGGATCACTTGTCGGCGACGACGAGTGATCGTTATCGAACACGATTGTTCGATTCGTCGAGGATTCATCACCTTGACCCCAGCGCGAAGAATTATCGCGCTGAACATGAGTTCTTCATCGATGCTTTCTTTAGACATCGATGGTACAGTGGGAATCACAAGCGTGATGGTCCCTCACTACTTCAAGCGTGGAACGCCTACATCCATAACCTTGAGGATGTAGGTCGTGACGCTTGGAACGACAAACTTATTAAAGCTCGTGATAAGTTTGAAAAGCGAACCCCGACAGGTGCACGCTACAAGCTGCATCGTCTGTCAAGGGAGAAAGGATTACCCTGCCTCTCTTGGGGAGACTCGTGCCCATGTTGTGTGAACAACTCTGCACGAGCACCTAAGGACTCTTACCTCTCTAATAGCCCGTGGTGGCACGTACGTATCTCTAGTGAGATGTACGAAGGGATTGACAACCTGAAATCCCTTTACGACCGTGCCGGGAAGACTTTCTCCGGCGGTCCTTCTGCGGCAAAGGATGTGCCGCGTCGTACTGCTCGACCAGACCCAGTACGTCAACTATCAGCTGGGAGCGGGGCTCCCAAGAATCCCAGGACGGGGGATAACCGCGCCACCGGACGAGATAACTCGTCCAACGTCCGTTCACGTCGCGGTGGTTCGACAGCCGCTCTACCAGATAGCGCTGGCCACCGCGAGAGTCCTCCAATGGAGGTGGAGGAGGAAGGAAAACGCTCTCCAAACTATCGTGGGGGAGCGTGTGTCCCCAAGAGCCCCTTTGACCGCGTAACTCTTGCGTTGCGCGGCGACCTCGAACATTAGCGGGACAGATGTCACAGGGTGAATCGTTACATAACCATTTATAAGAAATTGTTACTAGAATATAACTGTAAGAGTTACATTCTCAGAATATTGTCATAAGGACAAATATTCCGTAGCACTTACGAGTAGTTCCTAATTGGTTGATTTAGTCCATTACATCAACCAACGAAGACGCGCCACGACAGACGCACTCAATGAGTGGTGAGCAGATAGTTGATTTACACATTTGTATTCAGACACAGTTAGATAAAGATAAATAGTGATTTATTGCAGACATTAACTATACTAAATACAGTTCTACTTTTTACTTTAACCAAGCACTCACTTCTTCTTACCGTCTTCCTCTGCAGGTACGAGTGTACGTGAAGTTACGAGGCACCGCCTTATTCTGCCATCAGAATAAGTAGCTTGTACTGTCACCAGTACAAGCTTCAGGGTGCCCCGTTACAACAGAAGTCTCCAAATGGCGGACGCTGTCTCGAAGCATCGAGCTGAGTTTGCCTTTGCTCAGCTTGAGAACGAGAGAGCTCTGACATCTCTTCGTGACGAGCTAAGAGTAGCTCGTGGTATTGTTGATCGGTCTCGGGATGAGATAACTGCTCTTCAGACCCTTGTCGATGCCCACCATCGGGAGCACAAGGCTCTCTGCGAGATGCTTGAGCGCAAGGGCTTTCTTCATCGGAAGAAGCAGCGTACTGATGGGATGTTTTAAGCCGACCAACGTAAAACGTGGGATGCGTTCGCATCTTACGTGGCAACTCGATCGTGTATGCATTGCCTAGGCGGTGCAATACACGAAATGGGCCGATGTACTTGGGTAGATGTTTACTGCTACCCAAACTAGTCACTACATGCTTTGGTAGATTAACCGTAGACAGTAGGACTAAGTCACCTTTATTAAATAAAAGAGTGTCTGGCCTTCCATTCTTGTCTGCGTTTTGCTTTTGCTTATCCACCGCTTCGGCGATGGAGTCTTGCACAAAACGGACTACCGTTTAACGAGCCAGTATGGACTCATCGGATGACTCGTTAGCTTCAGTGCGCTGTGAGCGCACTGCAGCAACATCAACCTTTTCTTCAGTGAGGGCTTCCGCACTCTCACTGGCATTATCTTCTTCGATATCGATGTTATCGATATCGGCATCAAACGCAATGACCTCTTCGTCAGAGCGAGATGAGCGTGAACCAAATTGGTTTTTGCTCGCGCGAGTCTCTTCCCCTTTAAACCAGAGTTACACTTTAGTAAGGTGGGTACACGCGGATGGCGCAAGCCATTCACGCAAAACGGTTTATGGTTCGTGGAAGCATGCACCGAGTTGTTAATGGCAAACTCTACCATTGGCAAAAACTCACTCCAACTCTTAAAGGAGTGTACGTATCCTCTAAGTATCTCTTCAAGGACACGATTGGCACGTTCGGTCTGACCATCTGACTCTGGATGATCAGATGTAGATATCTTCAAGCGCGTTCCGAGTGATTTGAACACGGAACGCCAGAAATCGGCAGTGCATCGTGGATCTCTGTCTGATACGAGTTCACAGGGCAACCCATGAAGTCGGAAGATGGTGTCAATAAAGTCACAAGCACAGCCACTTGCCGTGATTGTCTCTGGTATAGCCACAAGGTGTACCATTTTGCTGAATCTGTCAACAAATACGAGAATGCCCGTATTCCCGCGTGCGTCTTTGGGTAACCCGAAGGCGAAATTCATTGAGATGGATTCCCAGCACTCAGCCGGAACCGGTAGAGGCTGTAAAGGTGTACGCAGTGAAGGACTTGACTTCACTCGTTGGCAGACTTCGCATGCGCGAACGTACTTTCGCACAAACTGATACTGGCGGGGCCAGTAAAAGTCTCGACTCACCGTGAGATATGTTTTCTCCTGGCCACGATGTCCTCCTATAAGAGCATCGTGATACTCGAACATGATCGGCAAACGCAGATCAGTATCATCTGGAATGACAACACGTGGTGTGTCACCAGAAACGGCTGTATAATACAGTAACCCGTTGCGAGTAGTGTATCAATCTGATGCAGATCGAAACGCAGACGACAATCGTTTCAACGATTCTCGAGATGGCTGTGAGAGATGTGTCAACAACTTCACAATCTCACCATCTTGGGCATACGCCCGCCTCACATCATCATACAACGTTGTAGATGGGACTGAGGACGTCATAACCGCAACAGTGACTGTCTCACTGTTGGGTTTCACAACTGGTTCAAAGTCGGGACGACGTGAGAGTGCATCAGCGACGACATAGAGTCGTCCTGGTTTGTACTCGACCGTAAAGTTGTATTCTGCAAAGAATGACAACCACCGCGCCATTCGTTGTGAAAGGTGCGGGCTGTTCACTGCCGTGCGTAAGGACGCATGGTCAGTGTAAACAACGAAGGGTCTATCTCCTAATAGATAGACTCTGAACTTCGCGAGTGCATACTTCATGGCAAGGAGTTCCTTGTCATGCACTGGATAGTTCCGCTCAGCTGGTTGCAGCTGACGCGACTGATAGCAGACGACGCGTTCAATGCCTTCAAGATCGTACTGCATTAATTCACAGCCGATTGCAAAATCGCTGGCATCACAGACCACATGAAATGGCCTGTCCTGATCGGCAGTTGCTAGGAATGGGGATTGTATCAAGCTCTGCTTGATACCATCAAAGGAGCGCTGACATTCATCGTTCCATAACCACCTCTCGTTCTTTTTCAACAAACGAGAGAGGTGCACAGTCATCTCGGCGTAATTGCGTGAATACTTATGAAAATACGCCGCTAGCCTAAGGAATTTTCGAAGACCTTTGACATCAACCGGCACAGGCCAGTCGGTGATCGCCTTGATCTTTTCGGGATCAGGACGTACACCGTTCTTACCAACGATGCACCCAAGAAGTGGTATTTCGCTTGCTGCAAATATACACTTCTTGAGGTTTGCATACAATTGATACTTTCGCATGATTGTAAGAACCTGTCGGACGTGGTACTTGTGAACCTCAACATCCGACTTTCCATCCATAGCCCGACTATGGATGAATACGTCATCGAAATAACTCGGCGCGAATTCTTGTACTGGTCTCAACAGATGTGATACACATCTGTTGAACGTGGCAGGGGCATTACTAAGCCCTTGTGGCGTTACTAGCCATTCCCAGAGCATGCCGCTAGGCGTGCTAACTGCGGTATAGGGTATATCCCGTTCTCGCATAAGGATTTGATAGAAGCCATCCATCAAATCCATGGACAAAAAGATGGTACTCTTTGACATGCCATCAATGATTACGTCCTTCCTCGGTATCGACGTCTGAGCCGGTACCGTTGCAGCATTCAACTTGTTAAATGCATGCACTATCCGCCACCCTCTTGTTGCTTTTCGCACACAGAAGGTCGGAGAGCTATGTGGGGAAGTTGATTCCCTCACATGGCCCGCTGCTAAACGATCGGCAAAGAACTTATCGATCGCAAGTACTTGTTCACGAGGCAGTGGCCACTGCTTCATGACACAGTACTTCGAGCCTGGTTTAAGCTCTACCTCGTGTCGAATACCTTTATCCTTCGGTAATTCGCACGGAACACTTTCAGGGAATACATCCTTGAATTCAACCAAATCTTCATAGAGAGGATTTGTCTTGAGCGATTCCCACGATTGGGAGTCATATCGCTCAACTCGTGTCTTTTCATCTAGGACACTCTCGTCCATAGATGAACTACTGAGAACTCTCTCGTTCTCAGTAAACACTGTTGCTGACCTTATGTCGGCTACACACTCGTCGTCAGCGACGAGTACGCAGATCTGCTTGACTTTGCCACTACGCAGATCACGCAAGAACCTTTTATGTTCGAGCGCTGGCGACTGAGTGATCTCCGAAGTCAACTTCGGAGGCGCAATCAGATCAAGTGTATAAGCGCCTACACTTGATCCGTTATTGACTATGACATTCAATGTCTCTGTCATTTCCTGGGGACTTATTCCCTCAGGCCTCAAAGGACTTATTCCTTCGGCTTCCCGGGGACTTATTCCCTCGGGTTTCGGGGAACTTATTTCCACCGTATTTGTAATATCGGGACTTATTCCCTTAACTTCCTCTAGCTGTGGTTGCGCAACCACAGCGAGATCCTCTACGAAAGACTCTCCAGTCGATCTAGGATTATCGTTTCGCTTAGCCTGAGCGATCGATTGTTTCTCTTCTAGATGTTCCATGCTAGGGATACATCTTTGTCCCGGTCCACTCGACTCATTCGAGTGATGGACCTTCGGCACAGCCTGTGTTTCCTCACAGCCGCCGGAACTTTGCTCCGAAGTGTAACCGTTTGTTACACTAAGGTTTTGTGCAGTCGTACTAACGACCGTACCACAAGTGAGGCCATCGCACTCACTCGGAGTACATCCACACGCTTGTGGACGCTCCAAAACGTTCATCAGATGGCCATCTGATGAACAAGCGGCAGGCATCGTTACTGCTCGATGTTGCCAGTTTACCCGTGGTTCGTACCTTCTTAGCCACGGTATTCCAAGGATGACATCAAATTTGTCATCCAAATCCAATACGATAAAGTCATCGTCATATTGGGTATATTCTAGCGTATAGTGGATCTTCACTATACGCTTCATGACGGTTACGGATGCGCCTGTCGCAAGACGCACCGTCATCCTCGTAGGAGGTGTGTCACATTCACCACACTTAAAGTGACCATCTTCTAGCAATTGGCGTCGCACAAAATTGTTGGACGCCCCACAATCGACTAGAGCTCGAAGGGACAACTTATTCGTCACTTCGAGTTTCAAGGTAATGAGTGAGACCTCATTACCTAGAGCAGCAACGCACAACGTTTGTGTGTTGGGAGCAACCTTCATCAAGAGGCCCACAAATTCTCTTGACGTTGCTGGACCAGTAGGGTGCTCCGCACCTACTGATCCTGTCCGTTTTTTGACGGTCCATCCCGTTGTTGCGTCTTCGCACCAACAGCGGACCCGCGTCCCTGCCCCTTTCTAATGGTGGACGGTCATTACGACCAGTGTTGCGAGACACTGGACGAGGGGCACTACACTCATAAGCGTAGTGTCCTGCCTTTTGACATCTGTTGCATTTCTGCAACTTCTTGTAGTCTGTAGAGCGAGCCTTCTCGCTCTCTACATAACAGAGTTCCATCGGCTCTGGAACTCCCCTGTCATATCGTCTCGGTGGACGAAATGATGTCGAGCTGGCGCGAGCCTGTCTCAGACTGAAGTCTTTTTGTTCCGCAATGGAAATGGCTTGTTCTAGTGAATCTAGTTCAAGTCGGAACAGGTGAATCTTGACGGGACCATCCGCAAGACCCTGCATGAACACCGAAACCAACGTGTGTTCATCAACCGTGTTGGAACTTAAACAACTCGTAAGATGTCGTGTATGTTGTGCGTAAGCGTGCACATCACGCTTACCTTGTTTGAGCTCCAAGAGTTCGGTTCGAGCTCTGAACTCAGCTCTAGGCGGTTCAAACGTTTGTCTGAGCCGCGACTTGAAGACTTCCAACGACCCAAACGCAAAAGGGTCGTGCAACTTGAGCCCCAGTGCCCAAGCCTTGGCACGTCCTGCCAGATTTGACTGGGCAAATGCAACTTGCATATCCCCATCGTCGATGCGACGCGCCCTTATGGCGTCATCCAATTCGACGAACCATCTCAAGAGGGAGTCCTCTTCGACTCCCCTATACTTGGAGATGTCAATCTTCAAG